AGCTCGCACGTCGCACGCCGTTCCCGTCGTCACGCACAAACCGTCCGCTCACGCACGCACGCACGCACGCACGCACGCACCACGCACGCATCCACGTACGCCGCCCGACGGGTTTTCGGTTTCGACGATTCCGTGCGGACACCGTGGCCGTTACAGAAGACCTACCCGCGTGACCGTTGTTCGTGTACCGCGGTTCGATATTATTTTTAATTTTTTCCTCAAACCGTCGGTCGTCGTTCGTGCGCGCGTCCCGAACTCGCGTCGTGCGACATTCCGTACGAATGCAGCGGTCTGCCGCCGGCGGTCGCAGTACGTCGCCCGTGCGCGTGTGGTGATCCACGGTGTGCACACACGGGTTTTAATCGCGCGCAGTATACGTTCTCGCGCGCGGCGTGCACCCCGGCACTGCGCGTTCCGATCGATCTCTCTCCGTTCCGTTTAAAAATGATCCAAGTGGCCGCGACGCCGATGATCGTCAAACCGAAAATCGGATTCTCCATAGAGTCCATCGTGGGCGCGGGCTCCCGGTCGCCGGCCAGGAGCGAAGGCTCGTCGGTGGCGTTGCACGACGAGAGCGAACCGTGCAGCTCGGCCGCCGGTTCGCCGCTGAACCCCGGCAGCGTGTCGCCACCGCCGCCGTCGTCGCATCACCATCAACACCATCATCATCATCACCATCAGCAGCACCATCAGCAGCAGCAGCAGCAGCAGCAGCAATCCCATCACGTGCAGCACCACCAGCAGCACGAACAGCAGCAGTCCGCAGCGGCGGGCACCACCGTGTTCAAGCCGTCCGCGCTGCCCGCCGCCGCCGCCACCGCCGCCGCCGCAGCCGCCGGTTACGGGTCCTCTTCGTCGTCGGTGGCCGCCGCGGCCGCAGCAGCCGCGGCCGCAGCGGCCGCCGGTCAGCTGGCCAAGGGGTTGCAGTACGTGCACGAACCGCTGACGCCGCCGCCGCCGCCGCCCGCTCACCCGCACCCGCACCATCCGTTCGCGTTCGCCGCGGCCGCGGCTGCCGCCGCCGCAGCGCACCACTTCCAGCCGAATCCTCACCATCCGCAGCACCAGCCCACCCGCGACACGTACCCGTTGTACCCGTGGCTACTGTCCCGGCACGGAAGGATATTCCCGCACAGATTTCCCGGAGGTGAGTGTTCACGTCGTGTAACGCGCGCGGCATAGTCTGACGTTTTCAATGCGTCGTTCAAATGTTTTCGGCTCGAAAACGATTTGTTTTGTGATTTCTGTGACAACAAACTCGGTCGACGATTGATCGTCGGATCCGCGGTGCGTCCAAGCGATCACGGATTCCATGCGAATCATGAACGCGGTACAAAACGAATCGTGTTCGAACGTTGTCTTGTAACGCGTACACGTTTGTACCAGGACCGGATTAAAAGTTTATCGGGCCTGGAGTCTAGTAGTACAAAGGGCTCTTAATCCTTATAATATTACCGATAGCTGAATTTTATTTCTTTAAAAAAATTATACAAAGTAATTGATTATACAGAAATATCTTTAACCTTTTTTAATATTTATCAATTTTCGTTACATGCAAATATACAATATTATTCTTAAAATGTAAAAATATAATTATAATATTTTAAAACTAACTTTATTCTCTTATTTTCTCTTCTCTTTTTGGAACTCCACAATAATTTCATCTGTATTTATTTCTTTTAGTAGAGATCTCAATTACAGATACAAATAATACAATTACGAAAATTAAAAAAATATATAATCAAAATAAAATTTAAACCTCAAAGATTTTGAAGAGGGTTTATGATAGAAGGCCCCTTTGGGATCTTAAATATTTTATGACATGGAGCCCGGGCTCCTAGGCTCCGTGCTTAATCCGGCCCTGGTTTGTACCCGTGCGTGTGTTATAGTCTTACAAGTCTTAATGTTTTCCAATATCGAATTCGTAGCGGTTACAGTTACTGTCACGTCGTCGGCACCCTTTGTGTTGGAGTCGCGTACGGTCCGATCGCGGCAGGTTTCCTTTTGAAAATTCTAAATAATCGTTACGCTTCTATACCGTGTAAGTGAATGATTTTAAAATCCTGTTATTATCCGCACAGAAAACGTGAGGCACAATATTTTTATTTAATTTTTTTTTTTTTTACGAGAATTCCGGATGAGATGACCTAAAATATAAATATAATCCCATAGTTATGCAACAGTCGTGTGCACCTACGTATGCGCTCGCAACACATGTCGTTTCTATAGGCGTGACTTCTACGGTTTGGACTGTTATTATTTTATTTTTTTATCGAATTTCTGGTAAATTTCGCGAGGCGAAAGCGTCCGACTCGGGTACCTAAGTGATTTGTAAAACGAATGGCGCTGATGCTGGTGCAGAGCCCCCGGCGCGCGGACGCGACGCGACCCGACCGTCATAAATAGGAAACAAATAACATAATACGTGTACTACGAGATTGTGTGTTGACCGTGCAAAGGCGACGGCGGGGGACTACGGTCGACCTTTATATACGTTATACAGTTCATTATACAACGACTCGATAATGCTAATGGCACACGTACCCAATAAAAATTTGTCCCGAGTACCGTATAACAATGTATAATGCGTGTAGTAAGTAAATAAACGATGTTCTTGGCTTGCCGCAGCGTATTGAAGCGTTTGTCGAGAAAAAGGTGTTCCGGGATCAATGTGTTTACGTCGTTGAATTATTATTACGTGATGCAACGCACACACGCGCGCACCTATTGTATCGTGTCTTATAATATCCTCTTCGGGTACCGTTTGAATAGGAGTTATGTGTATTGATGAAGAAGAAAAAAAAATACAACATTTCGGTAATAAAACTTCTGTCCGGACAGCATTCGCATCGCAGTATGTGTCCTCTCTCTGCACTCCACTGAAATACGTGCATTATAATACGTGTGTGTGTGTGTGTGTGTGTGTGTGCGGCTATACAATTTGTAGCTCTTCCTGCAGGACCTTTTATAAATACGAGTATATTATCTGTTTGTGTACATTTTTTATGCTTTCGAAAACGCATTTACGCAACTATACCGTCCCGTTAGGTTTTCATTATGTGACCACACGCATAACGCACGGTACTGTACGCTGTTGTTGACGCGATAACGGTTAAAAAAGAGAAAAAAATGTGTTTTTTTTTTTCGATTCCTTAAAAAGATTCGTAATAAACGGACACTTATACCTAACTACACTGTCCAAGCATTTCGATTTTGTATAGAAAATCGCGTTAACATACATAATACCTTTATATTTATGGGACATTATATATTTATAAGTAGGCATAACATCGAAATGACCGAGTCACGTGCGTTCGCCGCGCTCGGATTCATTTCATCTCTGGTTTAAAATCTGAATCATATATTATAACTCGTTTATGTGCCGGAATTACTTTTACATTAATTGTGATATAATATCCATCGTTTTTTAATACTGATATGACCATGATATGGGTTAAAAATGATAAATTTGGTCTACGCTATTTGCAATTCATGCATGATATTTTTCCGACATTTAAATGACATGGGCACGCACCGTCTTTACGTACACATTTTAATCGATTTATCGTCATTATTGCTGCCTGCAGTGGCTTGTAACTTCTCATAATGCAGATATAACACATACCTAATGATATATGCACGATGTTTCGTGTTTATATGTATTTATCATATATACGCACCCGTAGGCGCGACTAGGGGGGCGCATAGGATTTTTAGCACCCCTGAGTTCAAAAGTAACATAGCACTCCTGTTTTTTTTTATTCAGATCTACAAGTATATAATCTATAGTAATTACAGTTAAATATCATTTAGTTTTATGTTCAACAATTTCAGCACCCCTAATATTTGAGCTCTAGTTGCGCCCATGTACGCATATATTCGGTCCAGTGATGTAATCGGATGCGATAGCATCAATTTACTTGAGTAAATGTATAGACTATATCTTATCCATTTAACGTTATATATTGCATATATTCACATACATTTTCTATGAATACATCTCACCAGAAGAAACAATATTTACAAAACTAACAAACCGTCGATTTCAATACGTTTCTCCTGATTTAATATACATACACTATATTATAAATATTTTGTTTTACTGCAATGGATTTTCCATACAGAACACTGCACATATTTTATTTACAAACCTTGCATATGTGCCTGCATAAGCGTAGGTACGCGTACGGGGGTGTACATATATATTATTTGGTATGTGTATGCATAAAAAAAAAAAAACCGTTGTTTATAAACAATTGTGTGGAGTACAGTATACACAAATCGTGTAGACATTTTTGTGTAAAACTAGCAACAAATGTGTATATAATATGTTTATAACCATCACCACCGTAAGCGGTCGTGTCTGATTATCTGCGTGCTTGTAAGTCTATTAAGTCCGTAAACTATAGTTTGTACTATATATGTAGGTACTCATACATGTATAGGTAGGGTAGGTACATATGCTTGTTACGCCCATACACACACTCAAAAGTAAATCACACGAAAATAATAATCGCGTATAATTAATGTCCAATATAATAACGGTATAATAACGCGTTGTAAACTTAACATATTATATAATATATATATATTATACACAATTTAATACGAGTACTATAATGATGTGCTCGTCAAGTTGTTCTTTCGTTTAACACGACGATAATGATGCGCGTAGTATACCAGGAACATGGTTATAATGTCATTTTTTTCCTTTTATTATTCGAACGAAAGCCCCCGTGTTTCAACCGAAAACTTGTATCGTGAGAGTATAGTTATAGATTATACTATAATATATTTATGAATAATGATAATACCGTCTGAAGACCATGTCATATAGAAACGCGCTTAAAATATAAAATAATCAACCGATGTGCAACCAGTAAACCTCGAAATAGATAATAATAAAAAGCGTAGCTAAGATTTTTTTTTAATTTTACCAACGTTTCATCACAGTTGTACACTTCGTGTTCATCATTTTGTGTGTGTTAGCTGCTTCGGTGTAACGATACATTTTAAAAGTTGCCAATTTGCAAAGACAAGAACTAGCTTACATAGTTCATACAGCCTATATCAATGATGAATTCAGAGGGGCCGATCGCCATCCCCTGTTCGCAAAAAAAAAAAAAAAAAAAACTATTAGTATTTGGAATTTTTTAAACTTTTTTGTCGTACCAATCAAGATTTATAATATATTCAAAATTAATTCAATGTATAATTAATATAAAATTATCTTGAATCTTATTCTTCTCCTCCGCCTATCTTCCGACTATTTGGTGTCGGCCACCCTTGTCCTTAACCTCCATTCGTCTCGATTTTCTACATGTCCTACGCGCACACCAATATTAAATTATTTTGTAGGTATAATTAATTTCAAACCACGGTATATAACACCTTTGAATTCTGAAAATCGCCTCTAACTTTTTTACTTATATTGGTCTGGATCCGCCCCTAACCTATAAAATATAGTAAATTTGCCGCTTCCCCTGCAGGCTTACAATGCCTTAATGCGTCGATATAAGGCTTGAAAAAACGATAAAATAACCGATATCGAGCCACTGTGTGAATAGGTATGCACCTATAATATGCGCGTTAAGTTTCGAATTATTAATTACCGCTGACGTTGTTATGATCATTATTACGTATACAATTTATATATACCGATACAAGTTTAGTTTACAGCCACCCCCACAGCCTGCGGATCAATTTAAAATACCATAATTTTTCACAGCCATCTCACCGCGACTAATTTGCCGATGATTAGTTGTGTTTGTACATAGCGGTATATATTATTTTAATCATCCTTATTTATTTTAAAGTTTCTCTTTAAAAACAATTATTTCTAAAGTAAAATGGTCGTAGAATTTTTTACCTGTCCGTATGTATAACATTATACCCAATGCCGTAGCAACCAAACATTGCACCTGAGGCGAAACCTCAAAATGCGCCCTTATGTATTTTTAATTTAAAAATATTATGCTTGTTAAATATTATTTTAGATGATCGTTTTAATTAATATGAAGGATGTTAAAGATTTTTTAAACAAAATATCCAACATTGACAGTTGTAGTTTTTAACATTAAATACAAGATTTTAATTTTTGCCCTCTCCCAGGAATTGCGCCCGGGGCGTAGTCACCTCTCGCCACCC